GATGCTACTTTATGATGTGTCTTGGGCTTTACATGTCATCATGCATGTTGTGTCCTTAATTTAAATTACATGTCTGTTGATGGGGGCCATTGATAGGGATTTATATAATGTAATAAAAAATTCATATTTTAGTAGATATATCTTAAAATATAATAAAAGAATATATTTATATACATGTTAAGCCAATTACAGTAATGAAACAACTACATTATTATAGTTATTGATTTTGTATTTAAGAAAAAAAAAAACCTGTCCCTTTCTATCTATTATTATTATATTATTATTATACACCGGTCTAAATAAGCCTCCAATAATGTCAGTAAAAAGTATATAGGAATTGGAATATGTTCACTATTTTATAAAATATAAATTACAAAAGAAAAAAAATAGACAACATCAACTATACTTATTAAACAATATACAAACTTTTGTCCTCTTTAGAATCTAAGTCTAACTTATCATATTAAAGGCACTGAATTTATTATCTTTCAATATGCTTTATTTTTAAGTTTTTTTTTTTACGTAAAAGTCTAAATAAAAGTTTAATTACTTTGGAGTAACATCGATCAAATAACACAACAAAATACTTAGAAAATGGGAAAACATTTATACGCTAGTAAACAAATTTGACTTTAAACTGTGAACACATAAACATTTAAAAAAACATAAGTTTTTAATTATATAAATTTTTAAATAAGCTCTCCCCCTCACTTATTTATCAAATAGGAGTAATTTGAGTTTGACCTACTATAAGGTGATAAGTTTTCATTCTTATTTGTCAATGCAATGGGAATGTATTTTGTTAAGATGAAGTTTGATTCATTTTCCATATATTTGGTTTTCTTTTAAGCTTTAAACAGATTATATTACGTTTTACTGTTATTATACTTATATAACTTCAGTCGAAATATATCAATCTTAATTTTTAAACATAGAAATATTGTAACATCATATATAACTTTTACATTTTTTTTTGTTAACACCCATATTAAAAATACACTGAAAAAATTGTCAACACAGCTATTTTTAGAAGAATATTATTCAAGATTTCATTAACTTGTTTTTGATGTTTTTTTTTATTTACGAACAAAAATAATTTATCAGTTAAGTTGTATTAAATAAAAGGATTAAAAACATGAATGCAAAGGTCAAGTTATACTGCATCAAGACCTTCCATGACCTGATTCACACTACAAAGCACAATCTATGTGCGAATTTTTCCTCTACGCTCTCTCTTTTGTATTGACTTCTGTCACCCCAATTCCCAGACATAAATACTCAGCTAGCTACTACTTCAAAACATAACCAAAGATCTGAACTTTGAGCCTCTCAGGTGAAGTTTTCAACCATGGCTGCTTCTTTGGAAAACTAAGGTACTAGATTTCTGGTTTATACAAGTCTTCTCTTCTGTTATGTTTCTTTCATGTTCTCTTCTCTGATCCCAATTCAATCAATACACATGTATGTATGTATGTATGTCTCTACTATGTGTGTATGTATGTTCTTAAACTAATCTTGATTAGCCTTTTTCAATCAACTTTCGGTGCCGCTTAAAAAGCCTTGTCACCCGGGGTAAACAAATCTTAGATTTCAGCATATACATGGAGCTTGTTTTTGTCATTCAATAGTTTATTATTCCTCCTATATATCTTCTCCTTGGATTCACTACTTATTGTAATATATATATATACTCACTTCTTGAATCTCAGGGTGAATTGTAATTACTGATATCTTCAAACTTTTGGAGAAAAAGGTGAAGAACGCAGTCAGTATCTGCGGGTGCAGCAACATCAAGATTCACACCTCCAAAGGACTTCACAAGTGCACATGTTTATATATACACATACCTATGTGTTGGCTATGGAAGTTCCAACAAAGAAGTGAGAATCTTGATGATGCTGCACCGGCAAATAAATGGCTAGAATTTCCGATTCAGATCAAAGGAGGCATACAGTGAGGAAATTAATTATCAATCCAGGTGAATGTAACTTTTGGATCTTATATAAGGAAGTTCTATTGTATATGTTATTCATCATTCTGCATGCTTTTGTTAGTGTTTGTTGTAAAACAAGATAGGATTCTTCCAACTTGTCCACTTACTGGATAAAGAAACGAAAAAAAATTATGAATTTCATCATGAGTGTGGTCATGTCGTCTCTGTTTATAAATATATTGTGTATATAGTACTGTTTTCCTTTAGTCTGAAAGTTAGTGTGTTTTTTCTCTAGAAAATATGGGCGGTATTTGACATTAGTATATAGTACGTTCAGTTGCAATATATATATGTGTTCCTTGGCTTCTGTGTAACTTACTTTTGACATGTTCTTCTAAATACATGAATTAAGTTTCTCTATCTATCTTTATATATATATATATAAAAAAGCCTAAGCTAGCTATATATTAAAAGGGTACTTACAATGGCGAAGGTATCCCTTGGGAAACTCAATCTCGCTAGTTTAACGAAGCTAAAAAGACTTTATAATTATTTGATTCATTGTTTAAAGATTCTTACACCATCTAGATTTCGCATCTCATGATGAATTGTTAAATATTCTTGGATCAAATTCTTTGTGTTTTCGAGTAGAAAGATGGTGTCTTCCCTCGATGATATATAAATTCACCACAAGAGAACATACGCATAGAGGGAAATTAGAGAGTGGAGCTGATAATCCAAGTTGGCTTCTTAACGTGGAAGTCAAATAATTACTATATTTAGTTTTGAAAAGTATGTGTAGAATTAGAACTGTCTAGTAGAATTGATAACATGATATAAAATTTTAAAAAGGATAAAAGTTAGCATATACTAATTCGTCTATATTGGATCGTTTGAGTACACATATATCGAGAGAAAATAAATAAACTAGAAAAACTTTAAGATAATGACTAAAATTTTAAAATTTAAAAGTCTTAATGTTTTTTTGGGTTTGCTTCTCACCATAGTTAAACATTTAGGGTTTGTTTGCAGCAAGACGCACAAATGAATTGCGACACGAGTATATATAACAATACGAGAATCTAAACGACGACACAACATGCGACACAAGCAATGACATTGAACTAAGCAACAACGATAATGTGAATGTTAAGAGGGTGGATAACACTATAAACACGAGAGAAGAAGATGAAAACGAGAGAGAAAAATAAAGTATGTAATTATAGAAAGAGAAAATATAATATAAAAAATTGATGCAAACTTTTTAACAAAAGTGGGAGGAGGGATTCGTCTTCGTTTCTTTATTATGCCACTTTTAACTATGATTTTGTAAAACAATTGTTATAATTAATTCTTTACTATACCACTTTTAACCATGGTTGTTTAGAAATTATTGTTATAAAACTTCATTATAATTACAAAAACGTTACCCAATTTAATTTGACGACATTTGTTAGTTAGCCATTGTTATTTGGCGTCATGAAAGTCCCCCAGTGAGTTGAAATAGTAAAGCTGATAAATGAAAGGTATCCACATATTGAATAAAAATAAATACTTGTTTAAATTAGTTGAGAACTATGGTTCAGAGTGGGGTTTCCCTCAATTAATTGGTATCAGAAATAATCTCCTTTCTTTTCCTGTGTTGTTATTGACTAGAGTTTATAAATTTAATTTGATCAACTCACCTTAAAAAGATTATTATATAAAGAATGAACTTATTATGGGAAATAAAAAACCGTGTTTAAGGAGTAGTTAAACTTTGATTTGAGTAGCATTAAACCTTATATTGGTCTCTGAGCCCAAAAGGGATCTGATATGAGTAACAAACAACACATGTGCGAGTGAAGGCACTTTCATTGTGATCTTAACTGAGAGTGTATGTAAATCTGTTTCCAATTTAGGAAATACATCATGCACGTGTAAATATGCATGCTTGCATTGCATGGAGAGGATTTTGTATTCATTTTCTGTCCTTATTTTCTCCTTTTGGCTGGGGCAAGATCAAAACTGAATTGTTTAGCAACCTATATTGTAATAAGAATAGGGGAGAAAACATGCAGCACAATGCATACAAGGTCATTAAAGGAAAAGAAAAGACCTCAAACAAAAGCTGGTCTTGTTTCTTTGCGGTTAATGATATCATAAGGACTGTCTGTCATAAAGTGTGAAACATTGGTATTTTGTCTTGAAAATCAGGCTCAGATGCATGTCAGAAGAGACCGGTCGATTTAGCATTCTATGGAGGAATGGGTTCAAACAATTTGGTGGGATTGTGCTAAATCTGCTAGAAAATGGTCACAAAGGTCAATTATATGTAAGGATCCTACAGGTAAGAATTTTAACCCTAATTCTATTTTACACATTTACATCTGGAATGAAGAACTTTGCAACATTAAAAGAAGAAGAAAGAAAGTGGAGGAGGAGCCCCACTACTTAAGGTACTTCAATCCTTACATATATAATATATAGATATATAAAATAAAGCATTTAATTATCAATTCTAATCAAAATTAACTTCATAAACACAAGCCTTGATGCATTAATGTATATCTCACTATGAAATTGTTACTATCAATGCAGTTGTAACCTTTTCAATGGCTCTCACAGTGAACATTAGTTTTCTCACAATCTGGCAACTTGTGCTAAGATATTGTTCATAAACATCTTTCAAAAAAGTTAAAACAAGAGGTAAGCCTAAAGAAAATATTATATATAAGTATTTCTACCAAAACTCATGTATTAGTATCCTCTGTCATTTGCATTATTGTCTAAATGATAAATTACGATGAACCTTAAATCTGCATGTTATCTTAGTTAGTCTTGGGACACATGGCCACAAATAAAAACAAGAAAGAAAAGATAAAAAAACAGTATAGTATAATAGTACACGTCACTTTTGGCCTTGATGATTTGGATGCCAAATTGAAATTCACAATATTAGTCCCTTGACCCACAATGGTTGAGTAGGCACTGTTGTTACAGACAGAGTGATAAGGTGTGTGTGTGTATATATATATATATATATATATATATATATATATATATAAAGAAAGTGCTGTGCTGAGCATGACCTACTAGCAAACACTGATGATCTCTTAGAACCCTTACATATATACAGCTACACATACACAGTCCCACAGTGACTTTCTTCTCTCTTATCAGAATCTCATTTTCCTCTTCTTCTTACAGACAAAGGATAAGGTTCATAGTGTGGTAGCTACTGAACATCACAGTCACAGTCACATTCACATTCACTGTTCCTCTGCCTGTGATGGACGAAAAGAGAAAAGCATCAAAGAAGGACACAGCTTCCAGCAGCCAAGCCTCTTCTTCATCAAGGTCATTATTCTCAAGGAGTGCCTCTACTTCAAACGCACCTCTCCTTAGAAGCTTCTCCCAGAAGAATTCTTCGTCTTCTTCCAAATGCAACAACAATCTTCCTCGGAGCTTCTCACAGAAGAACCCTTCCATCGGTCGGAAATGCACCAATATAGCTAAAGAACAGAAAGCACGGTTTTACATAATGAGAAGGTGTGTGGCCATGTTAGTTTGCTGGCACAAGCATGGGGATTCATGAGGAACCACAATGCAAAAGTGCACAGATCTTGTACTAGGTTTTTATGGTTCCATCTTGCGCAATTGTTTTGTTTTTGATCCATGTGATCCTTTTTTGGCCATCTTTGAAATACTATAGATTCCATTGTAATTACAAGTTAACTGAGGTGATTTACACATTGCTGAAAATATGTACATCAACTGGACTCCAGATTCATGTTTCTCTTCCAAGTTTGATTTTGTCCGTCTCTTACGTTGTCTAAACCGAACTGCTAATCAAAACTTTCATCTTTTGAATCATATCTTTGTCTCAGATTCTATCTTGTGTTCTGAGGGAAAGGATTTTAATTTTAGAGGGTGCATATTATTCGGTTTTGAGTGCTTCAAATGGCTACAATTTGGATCTGCATTGAAAATGGAAGTTCCATTACATTCCTTCCTTCTTCTTTTCCTTTATGCAACTTACCAGAACTTAGTTTGTTCTTTCTTTATTCCTTTGTTTTTGAATTTGATGGCAGTATGATTGTGAAGCTGGAATCTCTCTTCTTCCAATCTGTCCCCACTCATCTTAGTTAATTTTTCATCAGTTAGGCCCTGTTATGTCAGTTCCAAGATTTAACCTTTCACCACGTTGTTAAATGGCCTTTTCCTTACAATATTATTATTTCTTATTAATTAATATTTTTAAGTAACTACAAAAGGTGTGAGTATAATTTATTAAATAAAAGATACAAGTACGTAATTTTGTAATTTAGACCACTATTTTAAATAGTGTTCAAATAAAAAAAAAAGTGTGAATGAAGCTACTCATAAATTAGAGTTACTACTGTATTTTTTAATCCGAGGAATTAGAGAATCTAATTTCTGAGTGAATTCAAATTTGTGCACACGTTATGCTTATTTAATTCACAAAGATGAAACATATTATTAACAAATTGAATGAATAAAAATAACGCAAAACAATATGCGGATTAAAATAAACTTTTTAATTACACTTTATTATTTTTTTCTCTCAAAATGATAAATAAAATAGATATATACATATCTAAACAGAAACTAACTTTATTAAAATATTAAAAACGAAAACGAATTATGAGGTACTAGATTAAATTTATCGATCTAATACTTATTTTATTTTTTATTTTGGTCACATATAACTTTATTTTTTTTCTGTGGTTTACCATTTTTGTTTGAAAAGATATTGTTCTAGACTTCATGACTATCCTATCTTTATTAACTGATGTATCAACTAAAACTAAATTATATTTCCATTCTATTTATTTACTTGATTTTATTTTAATTTTTTTTTCACTATTAAATTTGAATTTCAACTTTTTTCCACTAAAATGTATAACATATTCTGAAATTAAAACTAATACCGGTAGTTTTGAAAATTTTCAAAGGTTTTTAAATGTTTTAACTGCCATAAAAATGCTAATTAGGAGACATTAAAAGCATATCCTATTAAATTAAAAGTTCTTAAATTTTAAAACATTTTAAAATTTGAAGATAATAATAACCAAATATAATGTTAACACAATGACAATTTTATCACCATTATTATAATCAAAATAGCAATTTAAAAACTATTAATTTTATAAAAATTATAATAATTTTTTTTTACTTTGATAAAATGTTTAGTATCATTTGTATTGTATAATTTAAAATTTGTAAAAACTATTATTTTAGAACAATTGTAGTACTTTTTTACACATAAGGAATATAAATAAAATAATAAATATAAAAATGTAAAATATTGTTGTGTATAATAAAACAAATTAATCTATAATATTTTACTATTCTTTATAGTATATATTTTTTAGTAACATAAAACTGAATATTTACAACATTACATTATATAATTTGAATTCTGTTATATATTTTTTTAAATTGTTAAAAATAAAATAATTATAATAACTATTGAACTTAAAGGAGACGAAGTAATTAAATGATTTTTTCATAAGTAGTAAAACAAAAAAAAATTAATTTTCAAAATGCAACTAAAAATTATTAAGATATAAGTTTTTATGATAACATTCTTATATAATATGCATAGAAAAAAATAGTAAGTAAAATTAATCAGATTAAATTAATTTTTAAATGTATGAATATTTTAAATGATTCTAAAATTATATTAATAAAAAACATAACATTTTTTATTAATATGAAAGCCACTGTTAAACATACCAAGAGATACATATTTATATTCATCAACACATATAAAGAAAAAAAAAATTAAACACAAATTTTGACAGTGGTAACAAGTATAGTAACAATATAAAATTTATCAATAATTTTTCATCACACAACTTTTAGTTAAGTCAACTTTTATAGTAATTAATAGTCAACAATGATGTTTTGATTGTTCCGGATTTTATTCTACATTTCTAGAAATGGTGCATGACAAGGTTAAATGGTAAAATTTTTGTTAGAGGTTGGAGGTTGTGTAGTAGAATTTGCCTTCAACATTGTTCTAAATCAGACACTGTACCTGAATTTTGATGTTGACATGAGTCTCTATCTCTTTGTCACTTTGTTTGATGTTATAACATGTGACTTGTTGGATTGCATGTAATTCGATTTTAACCTAAGATGAAAGCTGCGGATTTCTAGAAANCAAATTTTGACAGTGGTAACAAGTATAGTAACAATATAAAATTTATCAATAATTTTTCATCACACAACTTTTAGTTAAGTCAACTTTTATAGTAATTAATAGTCAACAATGATGTTTTGATTGTTCCGGATTTTATTCTACATTTCTAGAAATGGTGCATGACAAGGTTAAATGGTAAAATTTTTGTTAGAGGTTGGAGGTTGTGTAGTAGAATTTGCCTTCAACATTGTTCTAAATCAGACACTGTACCTGAATTTTGATGTTGACATGAGTCTCTATCTCTTTGTCACTTTGTTTGATGTTATAACATGTGACTTGTTGGATTGCATGTAATTCGATTTTAACCTAAGATGAAAGCTGCGGATTTCTAGAAAAAAAAATATGCATGACATTTATTTTGTCTTATATCTGAAGTTAGATGGAATCTGTAAGTTTCTAAGTTTGTCTCTGAATACCAAACTTTTAATTTATCTTTTCTCTTTATTGCCCCAATTCAAAATCTTTCACCTTTACCAATTTTTGGATTGGTTCATTAAGTATGTATATAATTAACATCAAATATATGAATATGGTTAGTGTTATTGTAGATTGAGATATATCTCACTACGGACCTACAAGAAATATTCTTAGTATTTTTTTTTAATTTAAGATGTATATCTTTTAATATTCAAGTAGTATGAGATATGTTAAGTAAGATGTCTCAAATATTTTAGTGAAAATGATGTTTTCTAATTATTTCAAAAAATGATAGAATGAACATGTAAATGTAAGCAATATTATTTATAGTACATTATGAATTTTCATTAGACATAGTTTTGAGAATTCAAGTATGAGTTTAAGTCCCATATTAGATAGAAATGAGAAAGTAAACTAGTATATTAAGATGAAAGACTCATTAACTCATTGTCTTAAGGTTTTGGGTAAAGAGTGATGTCGAGTTAGCTCAAATGTTATTGGTAGTATTATTTAAGATTTTTTTAAAATTGTTTAGAGTTTGTTTAATCCATTTTATACTTTGATATTCTAATAAGTTATATTTGACATCGAGATATCTTTACCAAATATGAATTAGATGAAAATGTTTTTGCCTATATTTTGGTTGATTATGATACAATTAAAATATACACTCAAAAAGGGAATATAACAGTGATAAGTAGTAGCCAAAAAAAAAGGTAGAATAGTGGAATCAAATAAGAATTGCTACATTTGAACCTGGGATTTTGCTGTTAAATGGGCTTCGTCATCACCAAGCCCACATTTGTTACGGTAACATATTGTTTATACTGGGCCCAGATTACTAGTGGTGGTTTGTAATATATTAGACATGATAGTTGCAAAGCATAATCTATCTCAGGGTGTTACTCCCTCCACCCCCACACGTCTCTTCCTCCACCTCCCCAATTTTCTAAAATGCCAATTATATCCTTCTAAAATGACAATTATATCCTCAAAAGTTAAAATTTTTTATTTTTATTATTTTAATATTTTAATTTATTTAAAACTTCTGATTTACTTCCCTCTGCACCTCTTCCTCTCTTCCATTTTCGTTTACCTTTCTCTCTTTCGTTAAGCTTCTTCTCCACCTATAACAAATTCATATTTTAACAAATTCATATTTTAACAAAATTATTACGTTTAAAAACTAACCATATATAACATTTAAAATTATAAATTTAAATATAAATTACTGTAAATAAAATAAACAAATAAAATAAAAACGAAACGTAAAAGGAACACTG